TCAACAAGCGCTGTTAATTTTGTATAAAAGCTTTGTAAGATCAAAATTTGAATATGCATGCTTGGTGTGGTCGCCAATTTATTATACACATGCATGGTCACTTGAAAAAGTTCAACGTCGTTTGTGTAAAACTTTTATTTTTAGGTGCACCGGTGAATATCCTATTAGAGGCGCCCCACATGAGAATTTATTGCAATATGTACAACTGCCATCATTAGCTAAGAGAAGGAAATATTTTTCTATTAAATTTTTGTCACAAATTCTGAATTATGAAGTCGACTGTCCATATTTGCTATCTAAGATATCCCTACGGATTCCATTTTTCAATTATCGGTCATATAACTTATTCCATCTAGAGACAGCTAGAACAAATGCGTTAGCAATGTCACCAGTTCATCAAATAGTTAGTGCCTACTTAACGCAGAAATTAGATGCAGACATTTTTGCGTTAAGAAGAGCAGATCTTCGAAGTTTGGCAGCACCAGGAATTTAATCTTAATTATTAATATGTATAAATATAACCTGTGGCGTCGCGCTGCAGGCTGTTCGAAGGACCGTATAACCGTGTCGTACACGGTACGAACACGGCAAGAAAAGAGTGTTGTTTTATAACTATATATTAATAGTGTGTAAATGTATGTACAGTTTGTCGACCGATCGCGTGTACTGCGAGGTGCGTTCTGTCTTCCGGGTCCGTACCACCTCGGTGCCATCGAAGGGTGGGTGGTGGGGTTGTACCGCTCTTGTGCAGTACTGTACTGCGCATAACCTAAATGGGACAGTGGTGATGGACAGCCGCTGATATATGTATATATTATATTAAGATCACGTGCATTATGTTGGTCAGTAATTGGGCAAAAGCCTGTTGACCAACTTAGATACCAATAATAATAATATTAATAATATTAATAATAATAATAATAATAATAATATCTTTTTCTGTGTGTATAAACAGAAAAAGACCTAAATGTGATGAGAGAATTAAAAAAAATAAGAAATAAAGAAATTACAAGAAAAAAGAAAAAAAGCAGGTCTAGACAGAACTTCCTTTGTCCCTGGGGTACAATTAATTAAAGAATTTCCGTTCTCTAGATAAACTATAAAACTTGATTCTGCTAATTTTATTTTCTGGTTATGATAACTTATGATAACCCATATATAAATTAAAAAACAAGTAGATTATTAAACAAACTGCAGGTAAGGGAACACACTAACGTTTTAGTGGGACAAATATATCAGTTTTGATAAATACACTCTAACACCAATAACATCAACGGTATCGCTCTTTCAGAATTTCAAAACACCTAGAAAAACTGTTTCTGATTGTTGACAGATTTACCGTGTTTGAAATAACTTTAAAGCGTTTATAAGATTTGAAATTTGACAGCAATCTGTTTAGTAGTTTGGGAGATTACGTATCTAATAATATCGCTAACAGACAGACGGATAGACAATAGTCAGACCAAAACTAGAAAGCAATATTTTCACATTAAATATAAAAGGTGGAGAAAACATGAAATTAGCCTTTTGTCCGTTGGGCTATCTTTGCAACACTTTCCTAGCTTACGCTCAAGATGAAGAAGAATAGTAGTTTTGAAAAAAATTATAAATATCACTAGAATGTAGACATTTTGAAATTGTATGATTTTTAGAATAGGCTGTTGTAGTAGGACACTTAGATACTAAGTATGTATATATCTATAACCGATAAAGTGAGTTATGACTTAACAGTGTATTATTATGGTAATAGCCACATCCCATCACAGCTGCAATATATTAACATCATTGGTGTTAAAAGCTGCGATTAACATTCCCCTTTCACTTAGTTATTCGACCTTCTTACGCGTCTCAAGGTCGCAAAAAGTTTTTTTTAATGTAAATCAAAATTGACATTGCTTTAGGTGCTGCAAGGAATTATGTATGGTGTTAGAAAGCTTTTCGTTAACATTTTATCGAAACACTATCATTACCACTATTTTACTACTCAGCACAACATTTAAATAAATTTCCAAATGTCCCTTACAGTGTCGTTACAGACCAGCCATTACTATATTCGTTTTAAATAAAATATGAAGCCACAGTCAAAAATTACTTGCTTTAAGTTAAGGACTTTGCAAATGCTGCGTCTTCTACAGGAATGTTACTCATGTTAATAAATAACAGTTTACAGTGTGGTGGAAAACATTTCATTCGGAATACACCAACCTAAGGTGAACTTAGGTTGCAAGAAAATAAGAATTTAAAGTGATTCTCCGTGATTAGTACAGTTGTCTTCTGACAACATTAGAAAATAGTATACTAAATAGTTTACCAAGACCAGTTGTTAAAGATTCAGTGAGATCTATGTGATATTCAGTCCTAACTGGAAAAAATCAAGGCAGTCATTGTGAACAATTTTCCAAAGTACAGGCTAATAAATCAAGTGTTGGCTGATAAGCCTGATAACATGAAAAATCTATTACCACTTTTTTTGCAAAAAAGGTAAACAATGAAAAGTCTGGAGAATTTAAAATATATTAAAGTTCTATGAAAAACTTCACTAAAACATAAATTACATTGAAATTAAAAAAAAAGAGCAAAATAAAGGAAAGAAAATGACTGGACTGACAAACAAAGGAAAAAATTACAAAAAAGCTCCAAACTGCGTCAAGGCGTATTTACGTCTGCTGTCAGCACAAGTGATTTAAACATAACACACAATACTTTACTAGAAAATCTTCGGGGCGTAGACTAGACGTTGTAAAACAACTGAAACGTGATAGTGCAAGAATTATCGCTAATCAAAATATGCATATAGAATGAAACAATCCAGAACTATCCTAAAAGATATGTTGATTAGGCGTTACAGGTTCTTCAAAAAAAAAACTCACTCCATAGAAAAAACCAACATCTTTAGACAGCAACAACAGTGTGTCAGTATCTTGTCTCTGTTGTGGTGACCGAATTTAAATCAAACTTTTCGCGCTGAAATTAATTGACAACGGCGCGAAATCACATTTGAATAATTTTAATTTGAAAAAAAAAGAGTTCAATCACAAAAAGGAAATCCTTAAACATAGGCAACCAAATATGCATGGATGGTCTAATGCACGTAGCGCTTAGGAGTTAGTTGCATGATCTTTGAGTTAGATGGCAGCACGTAGCGCTAGGGTAATTTCAGTTAGAGGGTTGGTAGAAAAGCGGCATGGCGGTAGAATGTGTCATTCTGGTGTGTTTCGTGTAAGTGTAACCACGTGGTAAGAGCTAGGTTTAAATTAGTTGGTTTGGTAGTTAATAAAACGGGAGGAAGCCTTTGTTTAACGACGATCAAACGTATTTTTCATAATGATACAGTTGTCCCCAACCCGCGCGGTAAATTCTTGCGCCCTTTTAATCGAAAATTGCAGACTTCCGGTCGGACGCGAACACGTGTTGTGAATATGTTTCTTTGTTTGTAAATTCACCAATCAAGCTAGTTTTTCTTAATAGTCAGCTAGTGCAAACACAATTTAACAATCAGGATTATTTAAATTAACCATTTGCTAGAAGATTTCATGAAATTCACTTAGTCAGGAAAAACACCTTATGTTTAATTACGAATAGGTCTCTGGATGCATATACGTAAGTGTTACATTATAACACTTCTAAATTCTTCACACAAGATTGCTAATAGTTCATTTACGGCAGTTAAACAAGTTCATTATACTGCGGACTGGCGGGGGGTTATGATATTTTCTCCCCTTAGGTGGTTATCATCGTTATCACGATTAATTCATCGGGGCATGTTTCGCAACGCCAGATTGATTAATTAATTAAGGCATGCCCCCAACGCTACAGAAAATTTACATTACCGAGACGCTTTTTCCTCGCAACGATTTTGGATATTTACATCACCGAGACGCTTTTTCCCTCGGAGCGATGATTGGATATTTTTGTATTTGTTTATTATGTGTTTTGTTGGGGTAACCAGTTCGTAGTATTTTAACTTCTCAAAGTAAATTATTTTTGAAGTAACCAATCATTTAGATCATGATATAATTTGGCATAATGTAAACTCTTTGTTTGAACCGTTGATAAAGTGTGGCAAATATTAATCTCCTGTAAATTATGTTAACTCTGCAATTTTCACATCATACTATATTTCTTAATCTCACAATCTTAACCTCAGTAATTTTATTTGTTGTATAAATTTAATTGAACGTAAATTTCATATTCTACAGTTCTAACCTCACATAACATTTCTATTTGTACAAGTTTATTTCACACCAGATCTTTCGTCTCATAAATCCTTGCTAAGTTTTGTTTTGTAAATACTTTGTTGATGAATGTTTTCTATCATATAAATTATTTGATGTCCAACTTTAATCCTACATAAGAATTATTTGTTGTTTAAGATTTCACAAGATTGTATGGCGAATTTAAATGTTGTTTATTGCTCTTTGAAACTTTAACACTTGTTCAGTTGTTGTTAACATCAGAGTTATAAGAGATTGAATGTTTTAAAATGGAATTGAGGTTAAATGACACAGAAAACGTGGCAGAAGCGAGGTTTGGTTCCTAGTCGAGCTGGCGAGATTTATCGCGCCACCTGTACAAGTCCACAGGTTTGGATACGCGATCTAAATGATCTGATACGACATCTGGTGTCAAAAATGTGCACTACTCAGGAGCATAGTGAAAGATGTAAATAAAGTCGCGATCTTTTCTATAGAACCACTCCCTAGTGTAAATTTTCAAAATTTGTTTGGTGTAAGTGACCTTGACGGGTTTCTGGTGGAAAACATATGTGTCAAAAATTTGACAGGTTAGATGGCCCCATTGTCAATGTAGATATTTTATTTTAATAAATAGATGAACAGAACATACAGTCTGTACGGGATATAGTGCGGCATAACTGAGGGCAACCGAAACATTCGTGTTGTGCTAGTTTCGATTGCCATGTCAACTACCGCTACCAACCTCGTTCGGCGTAAAGTACTAGATGGCAGGGCTACCAACCTGACTTTTTATCGAGTGGTTCCGTAGAAATGACCGCCACTGTACTGTTGGTTGTACAGTGAAATTTCGTTGTTTTATGTTAAACCAACAAAATTAAATAAGTTGGTCCAGTATTCCTGAAAAAATGACTGTTAACAATACAAATTGTTGTGTTTTTCGCTGCCATAGCAAAAACAATAGAAACAGTGGGCTCTCTTTTCATAAATTCCTAAATTCCCCATAAAAAACAAGTCATTTGTTTAAATGTTATGAACAGGTAAGTATTCATATCAACAGTAAATTTAGTTTAATCAGTATTTAACTAAATTGTTTTTGATTATCAGTATAATATGTATATATATATTATATTTTTAGGTTAGGAATCAGGGAAAAAAATGGACAGATATAAGACTTGGATGGTAAAGCTAAATATGGGAAAACCAGCAACAAAGCACATGAAAGTGTGTTCACTACATTGTAATCAGGATGATTTCATATTGAGGATTTGATTTGAGGACCCAGGTGGGTTAGTTAGCTTCGAGCTTGCCCACTACACCTTGGGTCGTGGGTTCGATTCCCGCCTTGCCTTTTGGGTGTTGTGTATGTCATGTTTCCTGTAATTGGGCCTCCAGCTTGTTAGAGACATCATAGGATAAAATAAATAAAAATAAAAATATTACCTGGTAAGTACAGATTTGGGTAAATGTTGTTAATGTATAATAGACAATAAATGAAATATTGTAGATGTAAGTATCATTACTAAAGAATTACTACCTAGAAGGCCCAAAAATCGAGACTTTAAAGCAGTCAGAAGTACAACAATGAGAAAATCTGAAGGTTACATAATTTCAAGTACAGATAGTACTGATGTAAATTGCTTCGACAGCAGTCAGTTACATCAAAAAACTGTTTCAAGTATGTATACATTTGATGATATTTAAAAAATACAGATTATTTTCTAGCATTAGAAATGGAAACCGTGCAGGCTTTGTTACATTTACAAAATTCACAAAATAAGGATAAAAATATTCAAGTGACAAGTGGAGATTTAGTGGCACCTTTTATAAGTACACTTAAATCTGATAATGATTTAAATACAATGGCTGGAATACCATCCTTTCTGTTATTTAATGCTATTGTTGCAAATTGTGAGATGTTTGGAAAATTCTGTAATAAACATAAATTAAACTTGAAAGAACGTGTTCTGTTAACTTTTATGAAACTGAAAAATACATTTTCTTATGCTGTTTTAGCAGTTTTGTTTAAAACGGTGACAGCAATAACCTGTAATATTATTCATGCTTTATTATTTTATTATTATGCATTATTCCACTCATATATAGTATGAAATGAACACTTAATTTAAAAAACAATAATCGCTATAATTAATAAAGTTTTCACAGAAGTTTTAACACTACATGATTTAGCATGTGTTCACTTAAAAAGTTAAACAAAGGGTTAATAAAATGAGAACTACAAAAAAAACTGACACAAACAACGAAACAGGCTGTAAACTGAACAAATCCACTACAAAAACGCTCGATTTATTAACACAACACACTTTTTTCACACGATGGACACTTAAGACTTGCCATAAAGGATACGTCAAATATGCCTTAGAGCGGCCATGTTGCAGTTAACAGTGGCGCCCCCAACGGTCATTTAGTTCGCGTATAGATTCAGGGGGCGGCCGCCGACGTTGTGAATTTCTCGATTTGGCCCAATAGTCGAGATCTTTGCGGGTTGGACGACCGTAATGGCCTAGTTCCGCAGGGCAAAGTTCGTCATGGGATATGCGTGTGGGGTAGGCTTTGCGATAGATAGAATCATCGTCGCGGGGGGAGAACAGTTCCAGACCGGTAGCTCAGACTCCGCTTATGCTACAACGCTCCAGGGGTACTTTTGTTGTGCTCCTATTAACTGCCGTAACTTAAAAAGGGAAAAGAGATCGGCCGCCACACGCCTGTAATAACTTGTGTACTTGCATCCAGTTACTTGATTCAGTTTTTGCTTTGTTTATTAAACTTATGATATTCAAATATTTGCATTGATTCCAAACAGATTTATAGAATTTTCCATTTGTTCGTTTTTCATATGTGTATGTCTGTAAATTCGCGAGTGTTTTTCTTCCAGTCAATTCGCGAGTGTTTTTCTTTCAGTCAATTCGCGAGTGTTTTTCTTTCACATATCTTAAGGTGTTTGAAATGTAATAAAATGTCGTCCGGGAATAAAACCAAGGGGGTTTTTGCGCTGAGGGGTAAATCTTCGCAGCGCCTTTCCCCCTGTGAGGGTGGTGCCGTTTCTCCCCCTCCAAACCAATTTTTGTCTATTATTTCTTGCGCTCTCGACAGTGTATGCACTTGTATGAAAGAACGTCTTCCCGCCATTTTTCAAAAACAAAAAAAAAACACACAACGTAGGTTCTTATTTGTTAGACGATCACAGCCAAGGCCAAACTTTGAATTTTTGAATTTTTCGCGGGCCTTTCAAACTGTTTCAAGGTCAAATTTTAAGGCGGGAAGTTTGGGTTATCACACTGTGTATGAACAAAACCATTGGGATTGAAGTTGTAAGGATCAGTTAACCCATACAAATATTCTACGCGGATCAACACTTGTAAGAGAATTAGAGTCGACTTTTATTCAAAACTGTGCAATGGCTTTACACTTTCTAGATCTCTGAAACATCGTGGTGGTGTGGCTCTTTTCATTGGATTTTGTCATACAATACACAAGTTTACAAAAGGAAAATCATCGTATTTATATATTTTTAGTAACATTAGTAAAGAAGATTTTGTAATACAGCGCCAGGGAGTTTTTACTTCGGAAAACTACTACCATGAATGAATTTATCTGACACCTTTTGAATTATATTTTTCACACTAAAGGCTAAAATGTTTACCAACAAATTTTTGTTGCTTTATATTTTTACTTACCGAACATAAGCTAAGGAAGTAGAATCCATCTGGCGACTGGCTACTTTCATGTTACCTCGTCGGTTCATGACCACTAGAGTAAAAAAATAGGTCTCTCGATTCTGTTTGTTTACCTATAAAAAAATGTTTTAACAAAACTTGTTTTTATACACATCTTTAGAAAAAAATCGATTAATCTAAACAACTGAAAGGATTCGGCATTTCTTAACAAAATTATACAATAGTTAACTGTTAAATTTACGAAAATATTTCTCAAACGACAACATAAATTAGGATTACCTACAGGTTCGTAGTCTACAACCTATCGTACCGATTAATTTGAAAAATGTAATGGTTCTTTAAGATTACAGCGAAAATGGCAAAAACTTACCAAGATATGTATTTCTTCTCTTGAAGAAATTATTGCGTCATCTTAAAATTTTGTCATACTTTCATTGAAATTTTACTAAAATAGTAACGATGTATTTAGAGTGGAAATACTTTGAGAAGAACACATTAATAAAATGGTTCTTTGTTATGCTTCAGTAGCAAGAGAACTTACATATAAATAACTTTGCAGCACTTCTAGACTAATATCTAAGAGAAATATTGCTAATAAGTTGTTTTGACAAAATCTAGTTTTTTACGCTTCACCATGCCCGGTATATAAAAATTGGTCTAAAGAGTTTAGACAATACTTCCTTCGCTGTCGAAACGTGACGACTGCAAGTCTATTATGTCTTTTTTCATATTACATTTTTGAAATTCTTGATTTAATCAATAAAATTAATTGACTCAGTCATTCATTTTTTTCAGACACCCTGTATAAGCAAAACTAAAAAATATTAATGCAGTGATAAATCACAAGTATAGGTTCATCATTCTTTACACATTTAAGCATTTTTTCAGCAAAATTTTGCGGTGGCGTCATCAAATTTTTAGGGGGGGATGAGCAAATACATTTTGATCAAAATTTTACCATACTTATAGTAATAATAATAATAATCTTTATTTCCAACGGGCAAAAAACACCCAATTACAGGAAACAATTAGAAAAGAATGAAGCATATAAATGATAATTAAACTTATTAACAATAAATAAATACGAAAATTAAAATAATTACAAATTAAAGAAAGCAATATAATATTTAAATCGCTCAGATTAGAGTCTAAAACTTAAATGACTCTATGAGTAAGCACATACTCCTATTAAAGATATTAATGGAAGGGATGAAAATTAAGATAATTACAAATTAATGAAGCTAACTCAGTAAACCGTTAATTTTAGAGCATTAGTTTTACAGTGAGGTGCATAAAATAAAGCATTTTGTCTAGAGTTTAATCTAGGGACAACAAAGAAAAACTTATCAAGGAGGTATGGACAATCTATTCTATTATTTAGTAAATTGTATGAAAATTTAACAACAATAATTATCCTTCTTGTGTGAAGTCGTTTGCAATTAAATCTGGCCAATAATAATTCATGATTGAACCCTCGAGGGGGATAAACGCCATCGGTCAGATACGCAACAAATTTAAAAAATTTTTTTTGAATTCGTTCTATTTGGTCGATATAGGTATTGTAGATTGGAAACCAGATCAAGGTACAGTATTCTAGAGATGACCTGACGAGAGAATTAAATAGGGCAATAAGTGAGTGTGTGTTCGAAAAGTCACGACAGTTACGACATATGAAACCATACATTTTATACGCTTTGGAAATACATTCAGCAATATGATTAGAAAAGTAGAATTTATTAACAAAAACAACGCCTAAATCTTTGTACCTATCTAAACGACTTAAGGCTACGCCTTCCATATAATAGTCAAATTTAACAATAGAAGCTTTTCTCGAGTAAGAGACAACGAAGCACTTAGATTGATTAATTGAGAAACGATTACACTTTCCCCAGTAAATTAGACGATTTAAATCTAATTGAAGTTGTTGACAATCGCTCAAAGATTTGTCCTTCAAGAAAAGTTTTAAGTCGTCAGCAAATAACAGTTTATTGCAGTTCAGCCCATCAACTATATCGTTAATAAACAATATGAACAGTAAGGGGCCCAGATTAGACCCTTGCGGCACACCGGATCTTGGGCTGAAAGGCTGAGACATTAAGTTACGGTATTTCACGACCAAATCTCTGTTAAAGAGGTACGATTTAATAAGAGTTAAAAGCGGTTTGGAAAAGCCAAAGCACTGGAGTTTTTTGAGAAACAGAAAATGATCGATATGATCAAAGGCTTTGGTAATGTCTGTGTATACAAATCTAGCTGATTTTGGTGACCTATAGCCTCAGCAGCGTATTGACAGAAAGAAACTAAGTTAGTGACAGTTGATTTTTTTCTACAAATCCATGCTGAAACGTCGTTATGTAACTTTTGATGCTAGATGTTAGAATATATCCTTGCATAAAGAATACTTTCAAAGATTTTGACAAAATTACCCAGTAAACATATGGGTCTGTAGTTTTGTATCATAGAAGGGTGGCCTTTCTTAAAAATTGGTGTAACCGTTGCCTTTTTCCATTTCTCAGGAAAAGAAGATGTCCTCAAAATTAAGTTAAATAAATAATGCAGCGGTTTGACTAATACATAAGGGCAGTCTTTCAGTATAAAATTAGGTATTAAGTCGGTACCTGAAATAAAAGATTGTTTAGATCGTTTTAACGCAAGCAAAATTTCTTCTTCGGTAATGTCTGAGATTGAAACAAGTGCATTAGGAATGTCCTTTCCAGTGAAGTTATGAGAGTTATCAATACTTGGATCGGAACTAATGAAAACACTGCTAAAATAAGCACCAAAAGCATTCACAATTTCAGTCGGTGATGATAATTCTAAATCCTGATATGACATAGTTCCCGGAATTCTAGTAGACTCTCTTTTATTATGTAAGAAAGACCAGAAAGTTTTTGGATCCTTCTGAATTTGATTTTCGATGTTGTGTTAGTATGCCGTGTAAGCGTTTTTAGTAAGTGTTTTGCACAATGACCTACGATATAGTATTTAAACGTATTGAGATCGTTACTGATTTTATAATAGGAATTTCAGGATAGGCACTGAGGCATCAAATTTTTGGTATAATATATCATAGAATGCGGTAACAGCTACATTGACATCATTTGTTTTGTTTAATTTCGACCAGTCTACAGTTAATAATGATTCATGTAATTGAATAAAGTTTGCTTTTTTAAAATTATATTGTTTTGACTCCGTATTTAAATTGAATTTATTTTTATTTTTAGGTACTAGATCAGCTTGAAATTCCAGTTCCAATGCTGGATGGTGGTTGTCTTCATCAACTTAGGGATTTATTGACTTTTCGACTGTAATTACTAAATTTGAGAAAGCCAGATCTAAAATATGGTTGTTTGCATTACGAATACAATTGTATTGAGTCAGATCAATGAAATTGGCAAAATTGACTAATAAGGTGAAGAATTTGTCGGTTAAGTTCAAGACAAAGTTTGGAATGTTGAAGTCACCCACAATAATTAATTTGTTTGTATGAATATCTTCTAAATTGCTTAACAAATCCGTAAAAAGTTCATAATCTTCGAATGAAGTGGAAGGAGGAATATAAACTGTAACTACAAAAATATAATTTTTGTTAGGTAATGAAATTTTTACACATATTATGTTGATAGTTGGTAATGCTCTAATAATGGACGTTAGATTAATTTGAGTGCAAGTGACAGAATTTTTTACAGCCGACAACACACCACCTGTCCTTGAAGAATTAAATAAATTGTAGTTTCTATCGTTTTCTGAAGACAACGTAATGGGAAGGAAAGATTTCGCTGTTTGAGATATTGTGGGTTAGCCAAGTCTCAGTTAAAGCTATGAAGTGAAAATCACAAGTAGAGATATTGCTGTATAAAGTATTAGTTTTTGTTCTCAAACCGCGTACATTCTGATAGAATAAATTAAGCGAAGGATGGTAATTGGGTGTATTAATCAGTTTAAATTAACTATAGTTGGAGTGCCATTTCGATACCTAATTTTCAGGTTGGATTCGCCTTGTTCAATTGTAACTTCTTTTTCAATTGATAAATTTAAAACATCTCCAAGATTTCAAAGCATTCGGTTTTGTAGTTCCTGATTAAATCAATAAAATAAATTCACACTTTCATTTTTTTTTAATCACCCTGTATATGCAAATCCAAAAAATGTTAATGGAATGATAAATCACAACTACATCATCATATTTTGCACATTTAAGATAGGGTTTATTCAGCAAAATTTTGAGGCAGCCCCGTAGCTAGAAAACTTATTCAGGGGGGGCAAGTTTGTCGACAGAGGGGGTTCATGTAAATATGAATATATATTTTAATAATACACTCAGATAACTACCTTATTTTTTCTCAGTTTTTACATTTGAAAGAGCATTAAAATAATTGTAAACATCGATCTTTTACGCTATTAAATTTTCGTAAAAACCTGTGGAAGTCCAAAGATTTCATACGGTACTTTTAAAAAGCCAGAAAAACCAAGTTTCCCAATCTTTGATGCGTCATTGAAGGCGTTAAAACAGATAATGTAGATTCACAAACAGCTGTACTGCATCCAAAAATTCGTACAGTGGCCAATCACTAGATAACAACCAATTTGTTTGAGTTTATTTTTTTGCATGTTTAGTAGTAGGCTATGGAATAAAATGTGACATGACGTTCATTTTTTTATAGGGTCAACATCAACGTTAGGATGATATTGCCAAATAACAAACCCTGTAAGAAAATAAAGGGTGGGCGGGTGGGGCTTGTAAATATGCTTCGGCAATCGGCTTTGTATTGAAATTTTATTACTAATTTGAAATTTATAATGTGTAAGTCTTCCAGGGGGGGGCAACCACAACTGCTAGGGGGGGCTCAGCCCCATCTTGCCCCCCCGTAGCTATGGGGCTGTTTTGAGGTGACGTCATCAATGTTTTAGGGGGGGATGAGCAAATACATTTTGACTAAAAATTTACCATGCCTATGATAACTTTAAAACATGTCCAAGATTTCAAAGCATTCGGTTTTGTAATTCCTGATTAAATCAATAAAATAAATTCGCACATTCATTAATTTTTTTGAGTCACCCTGTATATGCAAATCCAAAAAATATGAATGGAATGATAAATCACAAGGATAGACTCATCATATTTTGCACATTTAAGATAGGATTTATTCAGCAAAATTTTGAGGTGACGTCATCAATCTTTTAGGGGGGGATAAGTAAACATATTTGGATTAAAAATTTATCATCCTTGTCATAACTGTAAACCATCTGCAAGATTTCAAGGTATTCGGTTTTGCAGATTCAAAATTAAATTGCAAAATGTTGTTTCATAATTTTAATTTTTTTTTCCAAAAATCTGGACGTTCCGGGTAAAAATTCATTTAGGAGTCATAAACTGCATGATTGTGGTGTTTCAAAGTTGTGTCCGTAAAATTTGTTTTTTAATCGCTGCAAGTGTTATTGCAGCAGCAGTTTATCTCACTACAACAATTTTTCCACATGGAGTACTAACCGTAAAAGTTGATGACCCATCTTATGCCAGAAATTGGTATTTTTCTACAGTGTTCTTTTATAAATAAATAAAAAAAAAGTGTTTTAGGTACTCGTTAACATAAAAAAAGAGAATATGACTGATTATATTAATATCACGAATGTTTTTCAGGTGTTTATTCACAACATGTTTGTCTATTTTCCTGAAAATGTTTTGAGTTTATTAAAAAAAACTGAGTACAAGCTGAATTAATATTATATGCTCATGACTGGATAGGGAAAGTTTCAATGAGCAAAACTATTTCGTGACTTTGAACAATTTTTTATTTAAAAGGAACGAAATTAGGGTCAATAAGAAAGAAAATAATGGGAATTACAAACAGATTTATTGACATTTTTAGGATACGCATAATGTGGGTTATAAATTTTCATACAGGGACCAAGTAATAACAAATACATGGAAGTGAAAAATTAATAGGAACAATTCTTTTAATATATTATATATTCTCAAAATGTCAAAGCTAAATTAAATATAAAAAAGATATTAAAAAAAAAGAAACTTGATATAATATATTTGGAACAAATTGAGTAATTTCGATGTTCATGCTATTATGTAAACAATTCAAAGTATTTAATATTGCTTGGAGTATATAAAAGTATCAAAATAATATTTTTTAAATTTCACGCATTTTATATCTTCTTATAGTGTTTCATAGTCCGCAAAATACGAACTTCTAGACTTTTGGCTTCCGTTTGTGTGTGTGGGAATGTATCGATTACCCAGAAAATTTCATAATTATTTACGAATATTGTGAAAAAGACGTAACACTGATCACAGTTTGTATACTTATTCTCTTCAATAATATAATAATAATAATAATAATAATTCGTTTATCTCCAACGAGACCAGTCAATAGTCAACGTAAAAATTATAAAATGGAGCTTTACAATCATATTACGAATGTTTTCCATTAGTTAAATTATTCCAGGTTTATAAAAAAAACTCAGTAGTGAACATTTTTTCCAGCTTCCAAAATTGTTTTTTGGAACGTGAATGAACACATTTTAAAGTTTTAGACCGTAAAATGTGTTGTGTTTAAGATGCATTTAGAATGAACAGAATACACAAAAAACTAATTCAGTTTATTTTAAAATATACTACAATAAATAAGTGCGAAATAAATTTTTATTCTGGCGCCTCCACCATTTATACACGAAATTTAAAAGTTGCCCAAATTTTCCCGGAAAAATAACTCGCTGAACCAAAATTCTCTCAGCATCACGAATCTATCCCTATTTTTCCTGTAGATCTTCAAACGAACAGAATTAAAAACTAATAAGACAAAAATAAAATACCAAGAAATTTCATATTTAAATTCATGCATTTTCAAAAAGTGTAACATTAGATTTGACTTCAACATTATTTTGACAATGCGTTGAACTGTTTACCGTATTTTTAGCCTCAAACTGGATCATAACAATTAAAAACGTTATTAAGATATTACAAATCCCACATATTGTCGTTCTGTTAATAACAAAAAAACGAGCAGCCGAGAAATGTGGAATATGATGCTTCATAACGACAACAATTTGATAAAGTTGGTTGTAATTCTGAGCGTTTTCACGTATGGCGTAACACTTGTATAAATTGGAGGTGAAGTTCAAAATCATCTTTGCTTCATTGGAAACCGCATCAGACAACGAAATATTTATTAAAATCCCACCCTAAAAAATCGAAATTCGATAATAGAAACGATATAATAGTTATTTGATTGAACGTACGCAGTGCCATAAAATTACCACAGTAACGTAAATAACCATGTTATGACTCAAGTGGTTGAAAATAACGATGGTCCCTTGAAGATATATCAGTGCTTGTAGGGTCGCGTAAGCCGTGATTAATAAAAGTGGCCAGCCAAAAATGTTATTCACAATGTCAACAGTTTCTTTCAACAGGCAAAATTCCGTTGTAATTTGCTGAAATCCAACGAAGCAATAATTTTGTGTTCTTCGATCAAGCTTTTGCAGCGACCAGAACTGGTGCTGCAGTTTTATTCTCAAAGCTTGATACCTAGCGAGCAACATTTTCGCGAAAACATAAAACAAAAAATTGATCAAATATTGGTCGTAAAGTTGAAGGTATTCGATGGCGAACTGCTTAAAAATTTCTACACCCAAAATGTACTTGTAAAAAATGTAGGTCATGTAGATTTGGTAACTCCAGTATATGATGTTTGTAATTACAAAAGGAAGCAACAATGATGGTTCCTTGACTGTGTCGGTTTTGACGATTTTTAAGTTGTTTATTAATTTGTGCCACAGAGGTTTTTTCCAAGAGACGGTTAAAATTGTGTAGATGTTTAGTATGTACAAGTTACCATCCAAGAGTAGCTGAATAACTAAATTCATGAGATCGTATTGCGAATAGTCGGGCTTCCGGTACATTAATGCCACTCCAAGAGCGACTGTGATGAATCCTGACATTAAATAGGCGTAAACTTTTTGACGAGCAAGAAGTCTTCTATTTTTGTAATCAGGGGTGACGGCCAGAATTTTTCCAAGCTTGAAAATCACACGCAGAAGTTTGAAGCTCATTTTTCTGTGGAACTGTACATGGAAAGGTTGATTACACAATTAGAGTGTTCGACAGTGACATACAACAGTTCCAACGATTTGTTGTTATTAATGCAAGATTTATGAAGTGACTTGCTTGTAATTACACATTTATAACATGTCGTTAAATTAACAAAAATATGTTTCCAATAAAGAGGCCACGTAAATAAATGGATAAAAAGCACAATTTTAACCTAACCATTCTGGAAATAAAGACAAAGCAAATAATCGTAAAAAATTTTCATTCGCAGTTATTAAACAAAAAGTACATAAGCTAAACTACAATTTCATAAAGAGTAAATTCTCGGACATATTCTAAAGCTGCTTCGTAGAGAAGTTTAATTTGTTCCTGAAAAAAAAAACAAACAAATCAAAATACTCAAATCGCGTAGTGTTAATAAATTTACAGGATTTTTAAGGAAATGTGGACAACTTTGCTTCACACTCCTGGCGACGTTAAAAACGTTACAACAACGATCAGTGTTGATTTTTTCCAATAAATAGGCCAAAGCCACAAAAAGGCCACTGGCTGTTTTTCCATCACTTCGAATTCAACGATAAATTAAACACAAATAAAGAGTTAATATTTACTTACTAGCAGGTGACAATAATTTGTCCACTGTAGAGTATAGTTTTGTCCCAAACATAAATTAAATCTTTGATATTTAAAGGTCTAACACTGGTACCATCCCAGGTTTTGATATTTATAATTTTTACTATCTTCTCATCATTGTTACTCGTATTGTGAATTTTCATGGTAAAGATGTCAAATACATCAGTATTATTGTCTTCACTCAGAAAAGTCAGTTTACAGGATTCACCTAAGGACCAGTTTTGTCGAGGATCTGTAGGCCAAAACCTTGGACAATCCTGTTCAGTACAAAATTTATCCGTGATAATAAATTTCACAATAAAATATAAAAAAAATATTACCTTGCCTTTGTCGTCTTTTTGGTTTAAAGATACTATCATTTCAACTTCGTCATAGCTCATAACTAGATTCCAAAAATATTCAACTCTATTCAGTGAAGGCTGTTTGGTTACTACAAATCTCTTGGGGTAATTAAAACTGTCCACGGTAATGGGGTCAAAGTTTGATCTACTGTCTACATAAAATAAAAAATTATATATTAGACTAAAATATAGATAGGAGTAATAAAAGATTTTCAAACATTTTCACGATAGAACCGCCATAATAAAGAAGAGTAAAAAGTCTTTGAAATTAAGTCAGTGTCGGATTGTGACGCTGGAAACAGTCTACTTTTTTTTGAGACAACACATTTTTCTCATATCCAGGATGTTACAATTACAAATGTAATAAATAAGTATTATTCTTAAAAATATAATAGACGCATAAAAAACTACATATTTTACTTAACAGATTATTTCCGAAACCACTGAACCAATTTTATATGTGTATTACCAATATCGTGTATATGGTAAAGGCTAATCAAAATTTGGCTAATCGTCCCCACCAAAAATTTTTTGACGTCATCTCCAAAATTTACAGTAGTACATATTATTTAAATTTTATAACATAATAAGGTACTCCTGCCCATGTGGTTTATGAACCCCTGTTGCGTTCTTATCCTAGACATCCAGATTTTTGGAAAAATATCAACTTTGAACTGCAAAATGGAATGCTCGGAAATTTTGCAAACGTTTCGAAGTTATCGTAAGCATGGTAAATCGTTAATCAATTTTTTTTCGTTTATGCCCCTCTAAAACAATAATGACATCATGTTACAATATTGCCATATAAGTAAGTGTTGTTTAATTTATATTTACCAAATATAAATTTTGGTGATTTCAAAAGCATTGTTTTTTATTTCAAATTCAGTTCTCATCTGAAGGACTCGGATTGGATTATCGAACGTTTTAGATGAAACTTCTAAATTGAAGTCAGTAGAAAGTAAAATCGTACGTTTCACCCAACTTTTTTTTTCATTTATTTAAGCTACTTTTTACATGGTTTTTCATCTGTTTTAAGGTACTGTATCATTTTTTAAGCAAACGGCCACGAATTTTGACGTTGAACTTTTTTTATTTCTATTTGATAAATAAAAAAAAATTAATTTTTGTCGTATAGTTTTTTTGATGCATTTTCTTTCACATTTCACCCCAATTTTAGGATTCTTTTTTAAAAGTTGTGGTTTTGTAAAGATTTTGGCCAGATCGTCAAAATTTTAACCACTGATGCTTGTAATCTAAATGTGTTAATAGTCGAATTCGGTAGAAGTATAAACATACTTAAATAGTCTAAGTTAAGCATATACTTAGAAACTGACAATGTCAACATTTTTTCCTGTTGGTTACCTTTAAATATATTTCACATTTAAAGTCGCAGGGGCTGCGGGGATGTTAATTACGCCACTTTATAAAGGTTAACAATTATCACAAAACGAAAATCGCAAAATCTAATTTTTATTTTTTTTAAAGAAGCTGACTTCGTCGGACTATACTTCAAAAGCGAGGGAAGTTCTGTCAAAATAACCTTCCACAATTTTTTACTAGCTTTGTTTTTCTTGGTGGCCTTATCAAAATTCCAAAAACAACATATTTTTTTTCAAAACGTCAATATCGCCGACAAAATTTAAAATAATAGCAATAATATACCCAAACAATATCTGTGTGTAGATCTCCATGTCCTCGATCCGATACTAAATTAAGGTATATAATTTCTTACCTAATAAATTTCTAAAGTAGCTTTTTTTGACAGTTGTGTGGTACTGCTTTGTAACCGTTTCCAGGTCATCCACCAAACGTTGTAAAGAAGATTCCTGCATGGCATCCTGTATTTTAAACATAAAATAAGTTCTTCCGTTAGAAGCACCAAAGTCTTCTCCGAAGTGGTATTACAACATCACAAAATGACAGAAAATATATTGTTCCAAGTGACTTATTAACCCAGCAGGTTGATTTATTTCTTTACAAGTTTTTAAAAAATCTACTTTTCCTTCTTGAATGCTCATTCTTAGAGCCACCTCGCACAAAATATATATTCCTGTTCTTCCCCGTTTTCCACTAAATTATTGTCATAAGATTGGGTGGTAAAATAATGTGATTTTTACTTACTCGCAGTGCACAACAAATGGGTACTGATCACGATCTTCCATTAATTCTGTCACAAAAGAAGTAAAATTCGTAACAGATTGAGGCACATTTCGATTAGACCAAGTCATATATTGAAAATGGCGAACCACTCGAGTTTCATTATCATATTTTACTTCCAGAATTTGTTGAACGTAGTCAGATTTTACTTTCACGGAAACACTTCTAATTAAAAATTTTCCAAATCTGAAGTGTGAATGCTCATCTGGCCAGTACTTTTCGCACTTAAGGCATCCATTTTCTTCTAATTTAGTTAACATAATAATAGTTTTGACGTTTTCTTGGCATACCACGGACCAGAAATCGTGCAGTGTGGATTCTAGAGGTGGTTCGGTAACAAGGAATGCTTTTGGCATATCGTAACTCTTAAATGATTACTTATTTTATTTCATTTCGAAATTATGTAACTGAAAATACACTTACGTTTATGTAGTTTGCATTTAAATGTCTTCTTTCGTTATTCATCGCTGTAGTTTCATTATCTAAAAAAATATAATTTTTTGCTTAATTTAACTCTTAATCTAAAACTAAACTAACACTCCTTACGAGGTGAATGATTTTCAAAGTCGAAATTTTCCATTTCTCGGGTACAACTACGATCTCTAAATTTTGATATTACCTACAGTAAACAGTGTGAAAATTAATAAACATAAGTGTTGGAATCAACCTTAAATTGTTGTATTATTTTACTGTCGTCAAGCGATGCCAGGAAATAATTTTTAAAATCGCTCAGTTTAGTTTCCCTACAAAGCGAATTGTTGTATTCTGCTGAATTCTTTTTTTCTTCAAACTCTAACATAGCAGTATTTTCACTATTTGTGTTACTATGTTTTCTGAAAATTTGTTTCCGTCTTTTAAACCTACAAAACAATATTTATCTTCGATGTTTAGAAACAAGATGAGTTCAGCTAACACAAGGTAAGATGGAAATCCGACTATAATCATTAAAACTGCACACAAGGCAATTACCACGTAGAATAACTCTGTTTTTTTAATATCAACATCCACTGCAGTAAACTCAATTGGAAATGTTGCGTTATCTATTTTTAAATAGTACTTTTGTTTCCAAATATCTTGCATTTGAAGACCTGTGTCACAGAATGTGACATTTTCTGAACAAAAAACTTGGTCTTCATTGTTTTTTGTTATTATGACCGTGATTTTTTTTATTTTTTGCGACTTTGCCGTGGGTGGTACTAAGGAACAAGTTCGTCCACACGTTGTTAAGAAAGGAATGGTCGAAAATTCAGGAACAGGTTTAGAAAATATTGCGTAAATAGTTGCCTTTCTGCCCCTAGTGCCTACATTTTGTCCCCATACAGAAATGTTATATCTTTTCTCATATTCTATTCTAATCTAAAACATCACTCTTTTTAATAGAACGCTACTTACAATCATGGTAATTCTACAGTTTTGTTGTAACTTAAATTTTCGCTTGAAATCTCCTCTATAAAACGTGTTTCTTCTTCACCATCATCTACCACAATTTCAAACGCTTTTATTTTTCCGTTTGTGTATACCGGGTGTTTCCACGAAATAATCATTTCGTTTGGTTGACTTAATTGAACTTGCAAATGTCCGGGGGCAAAAATTACTACAAGCACACACAAGTTTTCTGTGTTATTGTGAATATAAAAAAACTCAAACCGTTTTCTTGTGGCACAAACACACTTGTTACCGTACTCCATTCAGACACGTCATAATTCTTTGCCTGTACCTAGAACAACGTTTTAAACCTACAGTGTAACGACATTCTAATTTTTAATCACAAACGTACTGTGATGTTAACATCAGTGAAATTTTCTGCTAGTATTCTGTTTGCACATATAAAACCACCCCATATTTCGCAAGGAAATGTAAAATTCGTGGATGTCGTAGTTGTGTTAGGGGTATATCGAAGAGTAACATTGTAGGATTCTATTCGTCCTGTTGGTGGATAAGGTTCTTTCCACTTTATAAACAAATTTCTATTAACAGAATATACGAATAAATCTTTTACACTGTGGGGTTCTAAAATAAAAAAAAATTATTCATTGGTTTTGATAGATAAACTATTGTTACTCATCAGTGGTGTTGATCTGTAGGAATACACTCGATATCTTGTTTTTTGACCAAATCTTTTTGCTTCTATTGTAATGTTGTAGTCTGTAAATGCATACAAATTTTTTGCATCTATTAAAAATATCGCACTATATTTTTTTAAATCAAATCCAACAATTTCAGTGGGTTCGTTCGTACACCACCTGCTTATGCATGTGACTTTTAGTGAATAATTTAAGGATGAAGAAAATTTAATGCATTCATTTAATTCGATAAGAATGTGTTTTTTCGTTAGAGTAACATTTTTCGGAAATTCTACATCTTGTATCTCCTTTGTTAAATTTCCAAGATTTATAGTTGTTTGATCTATCAGTTCTACATGTTCTCTTATTGTACTAAATAACCTGAAAGTACATGTTTCTAAGTAGCTGATATTGTTTAATTCCAGACTTGTTCCGTTATTGATTGTGTTATGTCCTATCTTAACATCACTTGGACAAAACGGTGTCTTGCACTAAAACAACATCAAACAGAACTTGCATATTGTATTATTCTTATTCTATAATTGGAATTACAGTCTAATAAGTGTTAGTTTTGGTATCCACTAAAATTTTAGAGTTTTTGATTTTGAATTGTTTATACTTTTAACTCTGTACAATCAATTTTGTTTTAGTTAAACACGTATTATAAATGTACACAGTGTTATATAGAGTCCCTTTATGTAGTTATTACCGTATTTAACCTAATAGAATAATCAAATTTTAGTGGATACAAAAATAACGTTATAAGAATACGGACCTCAAACTGGATGAGATAACTGTCAAAGTTTTGTTTTTCAAGATCAGGCCAAGTTAGAGCAATTGCACCATTGTCTTGAAAATGCGTTTGCAAAGATTCTAAAATCATATGCAAAAATCATTTATACGTTTTATTCTCTTTAGGTACTTACTTCTGTACAGAATTAATTCCGGCACAGTACTGTCTTGAAACGACAGACTGTAACTGATCAGTATAATTCTGATTACATAAGAGTGTTCTCTTGAGATGTTCAATCTCAACGATACATTTTCCGTACTACCAGGATAATCTTTGACTGCCATGACATTGTGGAAAATTTTCTCATTTAACTAAAATTACATTCGTAATGAATCAATCAAGAATGTTTCTTTTTGGTTACATGTTTTAACTGCAATATATACGACTCGGGCGTTGCTTCAATTACACCATATTCAAAATTTATTGAAATTTTGACAAAATCTTCTCCTACGGATTCTAAAGAAGGCGGTTTTCGTACGACTGGAAGTTCTAATGTACAGTTTGCTCCGAAATATTTTTTCTTGCATTGTGTACAACCTGACATACTGTCGCAAATTTCACAATTAATATTACACTTTTCTTTGCAATCTATGCCCCAAAAGCCCTTTTCACAAACTACATACAAAAAAGATTACTTATCTCAATACCTACTGAGCACGCACATACCTTCTGTGCAGTTTGTTCCCTCGTATCCCCAAGCACAATGGCATCTACCTCCTGATGAACATATTCTATGTTTTTCACAGTTAGGATAAGAAGGTCCTAAAATTGTGGAGCACTTAATTTGACAGTGTTTTCCAAAAGAACTGCTGTTGCAAGTTTTATTTGAATATTCATTGAAGTTCAGAATTTCACACGTTTCATTTTTCCATGTCTTATTTGCTAAATTGGCTTCATATACAACTGAAAATTATTTTTATACTAGTTAATTTAACAGTTATTATTAAGGATGGTGTAGTACTCGTTTCGAACACTTATTAACACATTTTGAAAGCTAATTTAAAAAGTTGACAGTTTATTTTATCTGCCCATTATTTTTGTCGGACGTTAGCTAGGAATAACTTTTATACGATTAATTTCCATGATCAGTAACTTTTATCTGAAAATGGGGACAAAACTGATATTTTAATGCAACAATAAACTTTTATACACGCCACTGATGCTCTAAAATTCGAATATGGATTTGGCCGCTACACTGTTGGTCTTTGCGTCGGTTCTAGAAAACTCTTACCTATTTCAGAGTCGCAGCTGTGAATATCATCAATTGCCCAAAAACCAATGGTGCTACTATCGTTCCGTCCCCGGAAAAAAGAAACTATTCCACTTACGCCAATTTCATTTCTCATTTCGTATTTTTTCCATTTTCTGAAAGTATTTTGCTCATTGAATCCATCTACTCTTATCGATTTACTAGACCGTTCTGAACTTAGTGATATATTCAGATAACACCCTGTGTCTACGGAGACATAGAATGTAACACACTGTGTAAAATTTACAACAATATAGGAAACTTCTGTACTGCTAGTGTTCGCAAACAGAAATTCATCTACAAAATATATCTTTGCTTAACTGAGTCCCTCTTATTAGACCATAATTCTTACATCTGTGTAATTTATAGTTCTTATCATTTGGAAAACTAATCCATAACGCATCAAATGTTAGACTTGTGTTTAATATTTCGTTCCTGACGGATGTCAATATTACACCGTGACCAGTTTTTCTTGGTGTATAATGTAGCCACGAACACGATGACTTTTGCATAGCTAATAAACGAATTGTAAAAAAAACCAAATTTTAATTTAAAATACAAAGTTATACCGTGTCTTGGTATTTCAACATATTTGCTGCCAAAAAAAGCAGCGACAATAATGTTCCACTCATTCCTTGTACAAACCGAAAATGTTTCTCTATCGGATAGATTTGAATCTTCATTCCCGATACCAGTAAAATCTTTAAAATTTGATGGATAATCCAAGATTTTAATTCTTACTGCCCTCACCTGTCCAGCGCTGATCAAGTACAGGACCGAAATTAAAATGAGTTGAATTTTTCAAAATCCAGTCACTTTTTTCCCAGTTGGTTATTTCTTTAACTCTTCGCCGAACGTTATTTAAACCGCTTTCGGGGTTTACATCTAGAGTAGAGTGGACAGAACCTTCAGTTAAAACACATGTAATTTTATTTTCGTTTACTAGTGTGATCACCTCGCCCGAAATTAATACACTGCAAAAAATGTAACACCACAGATATAACCACATATTGTCACTAACATTTAATAATACTTGATTTCAAGATAAGGCGTCTAATATTTATACTGCGTAGTTACAAAATGTAATAAAATTTAAAATGTTGATGATACCACCCACGATGGCAAATCACGTCACATTTTTAAATATCGTTTATCCCAAGTATTATTTATTTCTTATTAAGGTGGTTATCGTTATCGGTATTTATCTTAAAATAATTTTTGATATTGAACTGAAAAATCAAAATAAACCGATAAAAAAATCCATATAGTCTGGAGGTAAATTTTTTTGGACTAAGTAATTGACGATGTTCCAGAGTAATGTTTTCTGGACTACGGCAACATTTATTCGGGGAATCCGAATTGCGCTCACTGCCTGAATGCTCCTTTATCGCGTTCTTAAATCATATTAATGCAGGTAAAAATTAATCTCCAGTGGAAAATCCAGTGTTGTGTCAATATGGGATATCTCAAATACGTAGATAATTATTATTTATAGGTAAATGAACTAGGAAATGAACTCCGAAAATAAAGTGACATATTACTCTATATTTACTTAAAATGTACATGTAGAACATATTGTGGTGTCAAAGTTTGAATTAAAATTTCGCGCTGAAAAAAAAAACTGCGCGAAATCGCATTTGAATAATTTGAATTTGAAAAAAAATTGAAATTAAGAAAATCGTTAAACATAGGCAACCATGTGCAAGTTTAGTTTTTTTCTGGTAGTTGGTCGTTCTTCTATGGGAATTTGTGGGTAGTATCTAGTGACAGGGTTGGTAGTGACGTGTGCTTACTTTGTAGAGAATCGTGACGAGTCACTTTTGTTTGTTTTGGTGTGAGTAAAGCACGCTAGATTAAGTTTAGTTGGTTTGGTGATTAGAAAAAAATTGGTCGAAAATTGTTTCGACAGAACCCTCGCTGCTGAAATACAATGATACTTTTTTTGAGCCACCCTGCCTGCTGTACACGCAAATCTAAAAAATATTAATGGAATGATAAATCACAAGTACAGACTCATCATATTTGATACATTTTAGATAGGATTTATTCAGCAAAATTTTTGGGGTGACGTCATCAATTTTTTAAGGGGGATGAGCAAATACATTTTGATCAAAAATTTACCATGCTTATGATAACTTTAAAAGATCTCCAAGATTTCAAAGCATTCGGTTTTGTAGTTCCTGATTAAATCAATAAAATAAATTTACGCATTCATTAATTTTTTTGAGTCATCTTGTATATGCAAATCTAAAAAATATGAATAGAATGATAAATTACAAATACAGACTCATCATATTTTGTACATTTTAGATAGGATTTATTCGGCAAACTTTTGAGCTGACGTCATCAAATTTTTGGAGGGGATTAGCAAATATATTTTGAATAAAAATTTATTATGCTCTTTATAACCTTAAAACATCTTCACGATTTCAAAGCATTTGGTTTTACAGATTTCAAATTAAATTGCAAAATGTTGTTTCATATTTTTGATTTTTTTTTCCAAAAATCTGGACGTTTCGGGTAAAAACTGTATTCGAAGTCATAAACTACATGTTTAGGACTATGTTATTTTATACAATTAACTGCCCAATCACAATGGACATAACTGCCCATTCACAATGGACATAAGGCATAACAAGTACATAAAGCTTACATAAATACATAAAGTTGAAACGATGGAAAAGCCAGACACAGACCAAAAACGTAAATTATGTTATGCGCTCGTTCTTATGTCTTATGTCCATTGTGAATGGGCAGTTAAAACCCATTTGCTATGTACAATTTTGAAGTGACGTCATCGTATTAGTGGTGGGGATGATTAGAGAAATTTTGGTTAGCGTTTTACCATCTACATGATATACCTAATAGAAATACAAAATTTGACAACAATCGGCCCAGTACTTTCGGAGATTATCTGTCTAATAAAAATCCGTAACGGCAGAGAGACGGACAAACAGGCAGGCGGAAACGGGAGACCTATTTCTTCTTGCTGTAAGGGTTATGAAAGGTCGAGAAAACCTAAAAGTAGAGAGCCGGCCGACGGACTCGATTACAATACTTCCTTCGATTACGCCCGGGAAATACAAAAAGGACAGCCTTTGTTTAACGGAAATTAATTGTAACGATTGCCACGCCACAGTTTCCTCAACCAACGTAACTAATTTGTAAATTGTTTTTGTTTGTAAATTAACAGTTCATGTTAGGATTTTAATCATTACTGGTTCTGCCACAACTTAACAGTTGTGAGATTGTTCAGATAAAGCACTTGCTAGGAGATTTTATGAAATTCATTTGATCAGGACTCATCCTTTGTTTATCAAGTTATAAATAAGGTTTCTGGATGCTTATACTTAAGTGTTTCATTATATTCTTAATTCCTCACACAGATTGTTGATAGTTCATTTACGACAGTCAAATCAACGTAACGTTTGTCCCACTCTGGGAAAAAGGATCGTGGAAAGTGTGATAGAATTCATAATATCGTGAACTGGGGGACGAGGAGATTAATATTTTTCCCCCTTACGCAGTCATCATCTGGACATCATCGAGACGTACTCTGGCGACGCGGGAGATGGTATTATTGAGACGTGGGTATTTCTCCCGACGCAGGAAATTACAGCACCGAGACGCATTCTCGCGACGCGGGATGCATTTTGCGTTTATTTATCATGTGTTTTGTTTGGCATAAGCTAGGGACAGTCCACGATATAAACTCTCGAAGCTAATTGTTTTTAGTGACCAGTCACTTGGATCAAGGCATAATTTAACATCATGTAAATTCTTTGTTTGAATCGTTGACAAAGTGTGGCATAATTTAACAGCATGCAACTTCTTTGTTTGAACTGTTGACAGAGTGATATAATTTAGTGGTTCCATTTGATATCGCCAAATTCAGGAAATTTTAAGTCTAACCACAATTAATGCATGGGGCCGCATGGGGCGCAGACGGGGTGTCGAGCCGACTTTGCGTGAAGGTTTACCCGTAATTCCAGATTTCCGTTACCGGGGACTCGGAGTTTACCCAGTTGCCTTGTTTGCGGGGATGGAAGTAGGCTGCATTGTTGCGGGGCGGTTTGTTGATGCGAGTGTTTCAGTACTTGGCGCGTCGTGTGGGCCTGGTTGGGAGCCATAAGCATTCACAAGGAGGCGCTCTGGTGCCGTTGTCGCTGTGCACCTCGCTGTTCTCTTGTTGACTGCCATAATTTAAATTTGCCGCCACAGGTTGTAATAACTTGTGTATTTGCATTGTTACTTTAATTCCGATTTTTTTTTTGTTTTTATTAAATTTGTGATATTCAAATATTTGCATTAAATCAGAACGTTTGATTTGATTTCATTCAAAGTTAAGCAAATTTTTTTTTGTAGCTGAGGTGTCTTCAACTGTGACAACTTAGTCGCAGCTTTTTTTTTGTCAGTGGAGGAATAAACGTTTTGTGTCTTCCATATATTTTGTGTTTTTTTTAGCGACACTTTTTCAACCTTGGGGTCCACACTTTGCATCTGAACGCATTCCGCCACAAAAAAAAAAACAAACAATATAATGTAGGGTTCCATTTTGTTAGACGATCACAACCAAGGGCAAATTTTTGAATTTTTGAATTTTTGCGCGCTTTCAATTTTTTTCCACATGTCAATTTAAGGCGGGATGTTTGAGTTATCACAATATTGAGTTCAATTAGTAAGTAAATTGTGTTAGCCTGCTATGTTTTATAGACTCAAGTTTCCCTCAGTATAATTCTAAATCCATGCACCTATTTATATACAGCCTGTTACTGAAAGGTACACACAAAATAAAATCGGCAATTGGTCTCGAAGTATAGGTGCTAAAAGTTAAAAAAGTTCAGGTAAAAGTGTTCTCCTTTTAGACATAAAAATTATTAAAATTTATGACCAAATTCGTTGTACGCCTCTGATAAAAAGATCATCTTTCGTTTCTACAGTAATATTTAGTCTTGACAAAAGTTTTATTGTTACAGTTGCTTGGATTTACTAAAATAAATAAATTTTACCTATTTATCCTTCAGTAGCGTCTAAAAAGGGTGGATAAGGGTTAATTTTCCCCTTATAATTTTGATAACACAAAATAAGTTTTTCCGACTTCTTAGACTTCGCGAAGAACTGTGCATTTTGTTGTACGTACCTTTCAATAACACCCTGTATAATCTATACCGATGCACGCGAAATATAGTGACTCATTTAGTTCTTGTCATCCTAATATTTTTACCTTGTCGAAGTCATGGTCGAAGTATTGAAGCCATTTGTTTTTATATAAAAATTTGTTTTTTTTAATGAAGAAAAACATCATACTTAGAAGTTATGAAAAAAAAAATTCCAACAAAATTTTACCTGCTTCATGGAGGATAAATCGGGGTAGATGTGATAACATTTCCAGGTAGTGGGCACAATTCGGGACATTCAGCTACAGTAAAAAGTGCGCAATTCGGACTTCTTGAGCTCGAAAACTCAGATAGCGGGCGCAACTCGTATATGTCCATTTATTCAAATGTCAAGAGTCAAGACACAAAATGAGACTTTATTAAAAATGTATCTATGTAAGTATTTATATCAAAAGAGATAAGGATTCGATGTGGATAAAAATGAAATAAACTTCGACAATCAAAGTTACGGCACGTTATGGAATCTGGCAGAATTTCACTATCCATATTTACTACTTTTTTCTACATTACTGAGATTCAAAACTGGAAGTTTATTCAATGTTAGATTTTCTAAACTTATCGAGAAGAATATAAAAATGAAATTTTAAATTTTACTTAAGTAAAGCAATTATTAAATTTTGTAATTTGACATGATTAACAACAGAAAAATGTCGTTTTAAAAATACCAACACTAAAAAAATTATAACAAAATTTTAATAGTTTTTTAAGATTTGTCATATCTTATATGATTTAAAATATTTTTGCCATTTCTATTGAAACACCACTTGTTAATCGTAAATTTGGCAACGTTCATATTCAGTCAATTTTCTAACTAGAAGCCGTCGTCAATCAACCGAAAGCTGTTACCAATTACTAAATTTTAAGCAAAATCAACAAGTGGTGTTTCAATAGAAATGGCAAAGACAATATTTAGGAGTGCATTTTTAACATCTGACAACACCGCAACGGAGCGTTGTCATAAATTACGTCTCTCTGGTACACCAGAGGTGTCAAATTATCAATTGTCAAAGAAGTTTTGACAATTTTTCTTTGACAAATTTGTTTTGACCACAAACAAGGTTTTGTCACAGTATGTTTTGTAGTGAAAACGTGGTGAAAACAGCCCAAATAAAATAGTCACAAATCAGTCCGTGGAAAACAGTAGAATTTGTTGTTTTGTGGTTTACAGCAATCAGATATTTTCCAATCACATCATTGTAAGTAAAACACATATTGCCTTCACATGTGTATACGGTGATAATGATAACCTGCTAATTAGGTATTTCTTATGTTTTAGGTTATATTGTACATTTGGAATTAGTAATTAAATTGTATCCAAAAAATGAGCACAGATTTCAAATTTCATTTTATTTGTGACTACCAAACAAAGAAAATCATCCGTGATTGTAATTTGAAGCCAACTGAAGTCGAAAAAGAAGTTCAGCCCTGGCTATATGCTTACAACGTTAATACTGGATTTGATGATGATGATGATGACGATGAGGGTGATTATACTACTACTACTAAAGTTGGAAAATGGATGTTATTTGTGTCACCAGAATATGTAAACTCAGTCTGGCAAAAAATTAAAAACGCTATAGAAGATGGGCACCTATGGAATTCCAAAGTTTCAACAATAGAACCAAGTAACAAATCACATGCAATAATGATTTATACCAGAGATTATACTGACTTGCCAGATGTTATTAAAGTTCTGGATTATCTTGAAACATCAGGAATTAAGTCAGCCAATTCAGTTATCAAATATAAGACTGACCGACAAACTTACGCTGGAGTATATGCTGGAGGTAAACAAAGGCCATGGATTTATTCCTCTGACACAGTTCGCCAGCAAAATCAATAATTTTCTGTTGTCAAAATGAGTATATAATTTTGATTATGTCTTGCAACGTGTTGAATGTTTTGCCCAGTGTTAGTTTTAATAATTATGTTTTTGTCAAACATGTAGCATTTAAAGAAAGCCCAGCGTGCCTTTAATATAAAATAATTGTTTAATAAATAACTTAAAAATTAGTTGGTTTATTATCTTCATATTCACAGAATAGAAATTGAAAACAATATTAGAATTTCTGAAGGGATACAAAAAAAACTATTATAGGTTATTTAAATTTCCCGCCAATTCTACTGAAACTTTTTATCATATTTTAGGGGTTTGTGTTCTGTTTAAATTCGTTCTTCAAAAATGTGCCAGCTATATTTATATACCCTCTTTATTTCGGTTGGTCACAAAATGCCTTCACATTTTGTATATATGTTACAGCTAATATCCGAAATACGTTATTATGCATAATAACTAGATATTTTAGGAATTATGCGTAATAACTAAACTTGTCAGTTATTATGCATAATAACTGGAAACTTTAGGAATTATGCGTAATAACTGAATTTTTCAGTTATTATGCACAATAACGGAAACGTTTAGGAAAAATTAATAATAACTAACAGAGGAACAGGAATTATGCATAATACCTGAAACATTAGTCATTGCCTAATAGGCCAGAGCCGATAATTTTTGAGAACAAAAAAATTTAGAACAGGTTGATGCCCATTGGAAAAGGAAGAAAATATAACAAAAATAAAAGGAAAAATAATTTACGGGCGATCGGAGGTTGGGAAGTGGAACAGGGTGAGCTTTTAAGGGTAGAAAACGGTTTATCACGATTTCCGGCAAAACTACAAGTCCTATCGAAAAAAGTTAAATGGCAAAGTTCTAGGTAATAAAAGGATCTACAACTTTTGTGTTTAGACTTTTTTTAAATAACCTCAAAATTTATGTGAAAAATGCAAATAACCGAGTTTTTGGTTTTTTATTTTTATCTCCCACAAAAAAGTTTTTTTTTTCACGAAATTTGGTGAAAACTTACCTATTTATGTCCCAAAATCACTGTAATTTTTTTTATTCAAAATATTTATTTTTCTCTCTTATTTTGATTTAATATCGAAAAACCCCCCTAATTTTCTATCGAAAATCCTAACGTCAAAATGTTTGCTTTTTTAAAAAAATCGGTGTGCTTTTTGTTCGTTGAAATCTCTACTTTCTGATGGTGTAAAATATTATGCATTATGCATTATATTGGAAAATATTATGCATTATTCCTGTTTCTGTGTTAGTTATTATCAATATTACCTAAACGTTTCCGTTATTATGCATAATAACTGAAAATTTCAGTTATTACGCATAATTCCTAATGTTTCCGGTTATTATGCATAATAACTGATAAGTTTAGTTATTACGCATAATTCCTAAAATGTCTAGTTATTATGCATAATAACGGATTTCGGATATTAGCTGTAACATATATTTACCAAGTCCTACTCTTTAAAACATCGTTAAACAACACGAAGTTGAGAAATTCCCTAGACGTAGACAGACGAAACGAAGGTTGGCAGCGATTGGTTTGATAACTGTCAAAGAACGATTTCGTTGACGTTGCCTTGTTTTTGTTTATCGACTCAAAATTTCATAACTCACAGGACGCAATTTTCCTGTATAGGTGAGAACTGTTTTCTCCTGTATTTTTCTTCGATGATATAGTATTCGTTTTTAGATTTATAAAAAAAATGGCACACTACAAAGGGGCAGCCAGCGAGGCTGGCCGAGCCATGCAGCTCATGAAGAAGCGTGAAAAAGAAATGCAGGACTTAGAATTACGTAAAAAACGGATTGAGGAAGATTTGAAACTAAACAACATAGAAAATAAATTTGCAACACATTATGATGCCGTAGAACAGCAACTAAAGGTAGTGGTTCATCACACAATTTTAGCAATAAACAAATGTTTGTAGAGTTCAACCATCGGTTTAGTCACTCTAGACGAAATGAAGGCAAAACAAGAAAATATTGTTAAAGAACGCGAAAAGAAACTTGCCCAAAAACAAGCAGAAAAGGAACGCGAGAAACAACGACAACTAGAGGCTAAACTTGCTGAGAAGAACAAACAGAAAAAACAGGTTTGTTTCGTCGTAACTTTTGTAACAATGCAGATAAAAAATAAAGTGTGGCAGTTATATTGTAGATTCAGGCACTATCATTTAACTTGGATGAAGATGAAGAGGAAAACTATGAAGATTCTGATATAAAATCGTGGAAACGAGAGAGCGAGGAGGTGGCCTCAAAATCAAAGAAAATCAAGAAAGATCCAAATGTGGATACTAGTTTTTTGCCAGACAGAGAAAGAGAGGAAGAAGAAAATAAGTTGAGAGAGGAATTGAGGCAGCAGTGGGCTGAACAACAACAAAAATTGAAAGAAGAGGAGATTGATATCACGTTTAGTTACTGGGATGGCTCTGGCCACAGAAGAACAGTCAGAGTAAAAAAGGGTAATTCCATTTACCAGTTTCTCCAAAAGGTGTTGGAGTTGTTACGTCGCGAATTTTCTGAACTTAAGACAGTCATGGCTGATCAGCTCATGTATGTTAAGGAAGATTTAATTCTGCCACACCACTACACATTCTATGATTTCATAGTAACCAAAGTAGTTTTATGAAAACTTAGTTTTCTTTTTAAATTGTGTTAGTACTTGTAGGCTAGAGGAAAAAGTGGGCCTTTATTTCAGTTTGATGTGCATGATGACGTCAGATTGGTCAGTGACGCTTCCATTGAAAAAGAAGAGTCACACGCTGGTAAAGTATTGTTACGAAGTTGGTATGAAAGAAACAAACACATCTTCCCTGCTAGTAGATGGGAGCCGTATGATCCAACCAAAACTTGTGATAAATACACTGTCTCAGATAAAAATAAAAAATTGTAATTTTTTACATTAAGTTAATACAATTGCTACTTGTTTTGAGATTGTGCTTTTGCTATTTCTTCATCTTCAGGGAATAGTAATTCACCAGGTACCTTCCAGAAACCTTCCTCATATGGTAGTCTTTCTCTTATGTTAGTACTCCAGTGGTGAATTCTACATCTAACTTTAAACTGTTCTGTTTTATTGATCTGTGAATAGGCATAATAGTACAAAGAAATTAATTGACATCCACTTACTGTAACAGTAATATAGAACTCTTTTCCCTCAATATCCAAATTGGGCCCTTTAATAGGTTTTTCAGGTATGCTGATTGCATATTCAGGAACCATATAACAACACTTGCGAAATGAAGCACTAATATGCCAAGGCTGAATTGTCCATGGTGAATCTTTATTCATAACCACACTCAAAGTAATTTTAGACAAAACTTGCATCACCTGTAATAAACATTACTACTGAAATATGTAACAAACACTATGGACTTACTCCAAGAGCTGTAGAAGAACTATACACTTTCATGTCCTTCACTTCCACATCTTTGTATTTTTCCAAATTTTCAGGCGTTGCATATACCGCCAATCCAGGTAGCAAAAGTTGGTCGTACGCTTGATACGACTTTACAGAGACTCGATCACCTACATTGCCTAAACCGTCAACATAAGAAGTTAAAATAAGGTCTATGTTTGCTTGTTTGTCACAGTTTGTGTCTTTTACAAGTTCGTACAAGTAGTTTCGAGTTCGTAATTTTTTCGGAGGGCCTCCTTTTTTACTCAAAGGAGGATTTATGCGGCGTTTGAGTATGAAAGTTGTCTAGAAAAAAAACCTCACAAAGGTGCGATAAATTATCGTGATGTTACCCTTAGTTGTTGTTGAATACTAGTTTCTGCAGATAGCAGGCAGTTTGTGGTTTTTGAAAGGGGTGTTATTGTTCTAATTAAGGATTTCCACATTATTTTGAAATATTTATTTTTTAAACACGAGACATAACCTAAAAATGGAGCGGTGGCATTTGACGTTGACGTTTGGAGACAGGGACGCCATCTGGAGTTAGTTCGAAGGGTAACTGTAAAAAGTAATAGCGACCTGGTTTTTTGATACTTGGGTTTTCGCACTGCCGGCTGTATTATATCCTGCCTGTTCATTTCCACAAAAATGCATTGAAAAAATTTTACCGTCAGGGCGTGAGGGCAGCACTGGAGGGGCGCTTTTGACCTTGACAATTGTCAAACAAACTTCAAATTTGAAGGTTTATAAATAGGTTAAATCGGGTTAGGTTAAATGTTTTGAACAATTTATTAAACGGTTAAACGTTGAATCATAAATCGTATCCTCTCTATGGTGTTAAATGGTTGAAAATTACAACAAAAAGGACTAGCAAAGGTGAAATTTTGCAAAAGGCACTTCTCGATTTCCCATCAACTGTTTCCCCAAAGCAATTCTACATCACCCCCTGTTCACGGTCCTCACCTTCAAAAGTTGTACAACTGTTTTCTTGTGCTCCCGACATTACTCCACGCGTGTTGGTGACTATAAAAAGTTAGGTTAAATTGGAAAATGTGGAAACAGCTTCCCGTTAAAGAGTATGAATTGGGAAATTTAACAATTTTTTTTGTAGCAAAAGGAAACATTTGAAGGTGAGGAACGTGATTAGGGGGTGCTGTAGAAGAATTGTGTGGAAATAGTTTGTCCAAAATCGAGAAGTGCCTTTTGTAAAATTTCACTCTATAATTAGAGCTAGAAGAATATAAAAAACAGACAGGTATGTTTATAATTTTAATACTTTTCTTGAATGGGGTTTATGGGTCAAATTACTAAACAATGCAACATTTTCAGTTCTTGTATAACCAAAATTTGCAAAAATTGGTTTCAACACTTTGGATAATATTAAGTTTGCAACCATTACTTTGTGGTTTTTATCTTCACAAGGCAGAAAAGATGAACTGGCAATTGGCTCCAATAACAAAGACTCCACCACAGTTCTTGGATGATGATTTACTGGTATGTGTTCCAAAATATCAAATGTAATTTTTATAATTTTATTTATAAAATTCGTGAATGATCTTGTGGGATATTTTAATTTTCCTCTGTCTTGCAGATATATCAAGTCAAGCAACGGGGTAGATTTTGCGGTGGTTAGTAGTGAATCTAAACAATGTTTGCACTCTACCCTTTCTTCGATTGTTCTACAAATATATCCAGATAAAAACGCAACTGATGCAGAATTGATATCTGAGAAAATAGTATTACTGAACGTTAATTTATGAAGGTCACTAATTTTTTCAATGATACTATCAGGTATATGTATATTTGTTTCTGTTGTAGATTTTTCAGAAGACTGAATTTGACCAATTTTACTTAAGTGATTACAGTTAGAATATACATTTGCTGATTCGGAAGTTGTTACTAAACCTGACTTAATTATTCTTTTAATAGCATAGTGTGCAGCCCTGGCATCAGTAGCGTCCTGAGAACCACCGCATAATCGGACATTGCTAAACATCGATTCAACTGCATCTGAGCTAAATGCTCGCGTTAAAACATAAAAAAAGCCACTCTCTTCGAGTAAATACTTGATACATTCTGCAGTGCTTTTGGCAGTGAATTTTTACTGCTTCTGCAGTCTCTTTAGTCAATCCCGTCGTTTTATTTGCCTTTGAAGATAGATGAATGGAATCTATATAAGCAGGTAAAGTTTTTAACATCCCGAGAAGGCGTTCATCATTAATATCTGTATATGGAGCACTATTTTCATTTACTTGCCAGATGTGCTGAGTTTTGTCATTGACATAATGAATTTTAAAAAATGTGTGCATCATTTCCATAAACTTTAAGAGTCTCTTCAACATCAACAAAACCTGGATTGTTATATTTTCCCAAATACTCTATTGCTGCTCTTACTTCTATGGAAAATACTTGCACAGCACAACGGACGTTCATCTTTTCTAAATTGGTTGGGCAAATATGCTTCCTGGTCAAAAACTTTACCGGTTTAACAATTAATTTGTGTTGCATATCATATATTTTCTTTAAAAAGTCGTGCAGAAATAATACCGTTACCAGAATGCATGTCATGGTACAAAAATATGTTCTTCAAATTTTTAATAATATGACAGTAATCAAAGCTCATAAATAATGGTATTGTTGGTTCTATTGGATGTTGAATATGAGTCATTAAATTATTACTTGATGACAGAGATTTGAAAAGGGCCACATTTGACTTATGGTTATCTGTCACAATTCTTAAAACTGTAAATCCACAATTATGTAAAAGTTTCATTACTTTTAACGTCAAATTCACAAAATCTATGTTTTTTAGAGTTCGATGGAAGAAATATCCGGCGGGTATCGTGTACTTAGTAGTCATGCCGTGAACAACGTAACATAACATTTTGCTGGCCAACGTTGGTTTTTTTCCAATTGTTTGACTACTCTCATTGGTAGTCTCTAACCCATAGAATTTGTCTTCTGTGCGGCTGTAACACAGTTTTTCCTTGATGGAGATGTCGTCAACAATTAAACTACAAATCCTTTCAACGGGTTGTAGCACTTCGGCTTCTGCTTTCAAGCGTGCCTCTATAAGTCCTGTAACATCTTGTCCATTTCCTATATACCGTTTTAAAGTACTTCGACTAGGTAATTTCAATATAGAAGCTTTACCATAGTTGTATCCCTTTGGGGATGAAATCCTCCAAGCAATACATGATCTTACAGTTACTTCTGACCATCTAGATTTTTGTTTGTTGTAATTTAATATTTGGTCTAATAGAAATGTGGCTTTTGGGTCGTTATTCTTGGCATCAGCTTCAATTTTTTCGAATATACGGGCTTGATTCGTTTGATTGTCAATTTTTAATTGCAGTTTTTGTAGCTGTTGATTTTTCAGTTTGTTCTGTTTGTCCAAACGGTTTACTTTCATTTTCAGTTTTTTTATTTCAAGTTTAAGTTTTGATATATCATCAAGACGAAGATCAGTATTGGAACTTAATGTTTGGGATTCATTATATAAGGACTCAGGTTCAGAAGGAATTGTTGAGTGACTTAAATCAGGACTCGACAATTTAAAAAAATATAATTAAAATTTATTAACTGCCAATAAAATATTACTGGAGGTTCTTCTATCGATGTTGGACACGTGGATGTTGATTGGAAGGGAGGAGATAATCTTGGAGTAACAGTACTCTAAAATAAATAATTATTAGAGGAAAGTTCTAAAAAAAGTGTGAAAATAGGTAGGAACAGAAAAATAATTTTACTCCTGACTTTAAATTACGTTATTAATGTACTGTTCGCTTATATTTTCACAGTTGTAAGGATTGTAATTACAGGAATAATGGATGATGAGGGCTTGATATTTAAAGGAGTAGAAGACTGGGCAAGGGCAACGAAGGATTCGTGTGTGGATGCGTAATAAGCATCATCACCCTATAAAAACTATAATTTTATTTCTGTTCAGTTTAAAATGTAAATAAATATACATGAAAAACTGTTGGAACTGCATTTTTTTGCAAGCGTTTACTACCATTTGCTGCAAACTTAAAATCTGTGGGTTTAAAGTGCAAATTGCAAATGGTTGAGTACTGACTGACGATCTGCTGCGTTGGAGCTATAATAATTAATATTTAGTATTAAAAGAATAAATGTTCAATAAGCTTTTCTTACAACAAAACTTCTCTACTTTATGTAGCCATTTTTCTCTTAGGAGGGGCTCAGAGGGAAACTGATGGAAGGACTTTGAGTATTTGGCAGGGCACTGGGGCACAATGCATTTTTTGTGGAACCGCATTTTCGTCCCAGTAAAATTAACGTAACAACTTAAACTATGTAATAATAACGAACCACTAACTGAAGTTAAACGACCAAATAGGAACAAAACAACAAAAAACAAACACTAATTTAACTATGAAATAATAACGAAACACTAAACGAGTTGAAACGACAAAATGCGAACGAAACACCACAAAACAAATAAAAAAGGAACGAAAACTGCAAATCAAAAAGAAAAACAACGAACAATAACAAATGGACTTCACAAATAACTACTTTCAGCGCGCTTAAAGATTCTCAAGAGAATTTTAATTTGAATGTCAGTGAGTACCATCCAACCAACATAAAATAATAAAAATAAAATGCGCCCATCCGCTAGCGCCCTCACTAAAATCGGAGGATACAGTGGAACTACAGTTATGAACAGGCCGTATTAACTAATGCAGCAGGTCGTGGGTTTTCGTATTATAATTTGTTAAATATTAAAAATACACTTTAATTATGTAAGTAGTTTGTTGTTTAAACGTTCGTGATGTTAATTGTTATTTATTATTGTTACAGTTTACTGTCCAGTGTAGAAAATTTGGTCAGAATTCAGTTCGTTGAGTAGGTATTGATTAGTGGCGACATCGCGGCGAACTCAACAAATGGCGGTAATTTTAAATTACACTTACTAAAAATAAAAAATAAGTTAGAGATTTCCAGAAATAAAAGGGATTTGTTAGAAAGCTTGTATAATTTAGTTTATGATTTGATATATCAATATGTTTTTCTTGACAAAACAGAATTATAATTGATTTCTCACAATGACCATTTTTTTAACAGATTGTGGATTGGATACTGTTCTACAACGAGTATGCTTTTGTTTTAGTTTTTTTTTGTACGGGCTTGAACTGCGCCTATATTTCTCGTGACTTACACAAGATGCTTAAAAATGCCAGGAATTTTTAAGCAGCAATAATAAAAATTGAAGGCGTCGTTTCAAGAATGTGCCCAGCAGGAGTCCACCGCATTCGGAATTTTCGGTGATGATGGTAAAAAATACCGATCGTCCGTGGTAACCGTGAAAGTCCTTGTGGGCCGAACCGTGATCTCATTTATGATCCGAAAATCCATTAGCCCCCAAAAATGAATTATTTCCAAGCTGAGCGGAAAGGGAAAAAACAGACAGCAACATCACAATTAAGAACCAGATGGACTTAATTAGAAATCTCGAAATCCCTCGAATAATTGAAAGCCGAAAATGTAGATTTAAAACGGAGGTATATAGC